GCCAGGCATGGTGGCACATGCCTACCAGTGACTCTGAAGCCTGAGGTAGGTGGATGGCAAGTTCAAGGTCAGCTTCAGCAACTTAGCAAGACCCTGTCTCAAAGTATAAAGTAACAAAGGGTGGGAGATGTAGCTCAGAGCATCCCTGGGTTCAATCCCCAGGACCACACACACACACACACACACACACAAAGACAAAGACAAACTGCTCAATTTTTTAAATCCCCAAGTCTTCTGGATATTTTATGGCATCATACTTTATATTAGCAGGTGGACAGCCAAAGTTGGAGAAATTTACAGGTTAAGGAAGCAATTCCTGGGACTGGGGTTGTGGCTCAGCGGTAGAGCGCTTGCCTCGCACGTGCAAGGTCCTGGGTTCGATCCTCAGCACCACATAAAAATAAATAAATAAAATAAAGCTATAAAAAAGAAAGAAAGAAAAATTACCTTAAAAAAAAAAAAGAAGCAATTCCTAATCCTTTTGAAGTTAAAACAGCCTATGCAGTTTTAAAGAGAATTTTAAGTTGAAAACAATGAAGAACTTCTGGTTGAGGGCTTCTCTGAGTAGTAAAGCACAGGCTGAGCATGCACAAGACCCTGGGTTCAATTTATAACATTAAAAAAAAAAAAAGTTGTTGACCCATGAATGATGTATTCATGGTGAAATGGATACAGCTGGAAGTTTTCCACAGGAATATAGGATAAAAAAAATATTCTCAGTGGGGCACAGTGGCACAAACCTGTAATCCCAGTGGCTCACGAGGCTAAGGCTGAAGGATTGAGTTCAAAATCAGCCTCAGCAATTTAGTGAGGCCCTAAGCAATTTAGTGAGACCCTGTCTTTTAAAAAGACATTTAAAAAAGGTCCCAGGGACAGGAGGGCAGAGGGACAAGGATGTAACTCAGTGGTTAATTGCCCCTGGGTTCAGGTGCTGTTACAAAAAAAAAAAAAAAACAACAACAACACCTTTCACAATAAGTGCCATACTGGACTAGAAACTTTCTTAGGTACCTTCCAATACTAAATGTTCTATTAAATTGGGTGTAGTGGCACATGCCTGTAATCCCAGTGACTTGGGTGGCTGAGGTAGGAGGATCCCAAGTTTGAGGCCAGCCTGGGCAATTTAGCAAGACCCTATCTCGAAAAGGAACAGGGATATAGCTTGTTGGTAGAGAGCCCCTGGATTTGATTCCCAGTACCACACACACACTCAGTTTTTAAATAATAATAATAATAATAATAATAATAATAATAAATGTTCTTTTAAATTATTGAGCTTTATGAGATGAAAGTTTGTCTAGCCATAGCCAGGAATACCACTAAATACTGAAGCAAACAACCCAGCTATCCATCATCTTCTTGCTCATTTACTGATATCATTCTTAATGAACCTGAGAACTAATCAAGCTCCTATCAACCTACTTATCACCCACCTAGTGTGTGTGTGAATATATACATACAGGTATGCAAACTTGAATGATAACGATAGATTTGAAAGCTGTCCACAAAAGCAGACTATAATTTTTAGGAACTAAAATTTTTAGGAACTAAAAATTAGTGAGTCTATTCAATTTCCATCATAGGAAATAGCCAATTACTCATTTGAGATTGAGTCCCCCAAACCCATTCTATTTTTCAAATTTAACTTCTTGAGTTCATTCAGAATTTTCAAACTGTGTGTTATCATTTCAAAGAAAATCATTATACAGCTTATTCTATCTAAAGTGACTACTTCGTAACTAGTATAGCCATGAAATTTCAGTTTCCAATGTCATGGGGTTGGTAATATTATGGTTCCTATATAAAGATGTGGGTTTGAGGCCAGTCTCAGCAACTTAGTAAGGCCCTAAACAACTTAGTGAAACACCATTGCAAAATAAAAAATAAAAAGGGTTGGAGGACATGGCTCAGACGTAAACCACCCCTGCGTTCAATCCCCAGTACCAATAAATAAATAAATAAATAAGGGGGTGGGGTGGGATTTTGCTCACTGGTAGAGCACTTTCCTAACACATGAAAGGCTCTGAGTTAGATCCCAAAAAGGGAGTCGGTGGGGGGTAGACACAGAAGGTTGAGGAGTATGGCATGCTAGAAAGATGAAATGAGCTTAAGTCACAAATAACACCACTGGAAGCTGAGATCAATTRAGGTCACCAACTCTGGGTAGGGCTCTTAACATCCCTTATTGTTGAAGCCACTTTTTACTTGCCTCCTTAAACATCATGAGCATAAATAAGTAACAAATTGTTAAGAAAACCAAATCATTTAAGCACAGTTAACTTTAAGATTACCTGGCAGAACAATTCATAAGAACTTACAGCCAATTCATCAGAAACACTCTGTGTGTAAGTGCAATATCCGTGTAGCAATAGTTGTTAGTTTCCCAACCACTTAATACCACCATCAAATAGTCCACTAGATTCAAGTAGTGAATACTCACTAAAGTTTCATAAAATTAAAGAAACAAAAACTACTGAGGCAATGATCTGTTTAAGTGGAAGATCAATGAAGACTATCTGAAAATGGTAATCAACTAGTTATCAAGACTTTTTTCAGCCAGTGAAAAAAGTATTTATTCCCTTTTTTCCCCTCGTACTGGGGATTGAACTGAGGGCCTCAAACATGCTAGGCAAGTACTCTAAAACTCAGTTATATCCCCAGTCCAAATAACTTCTTTATCTTATTATTTTAAGGGTTTGGAAAGATGCTTGAGGCACAGCTCTTACAATTATTAATCTTTAAAAACATGTTAGATAATGATATAACAACTCCAGCCCCCCCCCCAAACTGCAAAAAGATTCTCCTCTCCTCCCTAGCTGGAAATAATAAATTCCAATGTATTATTTCACAAAATTTATTTATTTATTCTTTTTGAGGGAGGAAGGAGACTGGGGAGCCTGGGGGATTGAACACAGGGGAGGCTCTACCACTGAGCTACATCCTCAGCCATTTTTATTTTTTGAGACAGGGTCTCAGGAAGTTGCCCAGGCCAGTCTCAAACTTGCAATCCTCCTGCCTTAGCCTCCCAGTCACTAGGATTACAGGTGTGCACCACTGCATCTGTCTATACTTTTTATTTTTATTGACTTCTTTCTTCAATCAAGACTGTGAGGATATTGGTTTTTGTTCATTTGTTTGTTTTTGTTTGCAGTGCTGGGGATTGAACCCAGGGCCTTGTGCATGCAAGGCAAGTACTCTACTAAGTTATATCCCCAGCCCCAAGACTATGAGGATATTAATCATCCCCCCAAAAAACTAAAGAAAAGCACTAGCCCCAGATCTGTTAAACCAGTATATGTAACAGGTTAAAAAAAAAAAAATTCCTAGTCATTGACTGAAAAGAAAATAATGTAGAGTGTTACACAGTGCACTATACCTGAACTTGCTCATGGCACTTTAGAGAAGTCAACATCAAATGAGAGTTCTCTGAGATTGGCTTTTAAAATGCCAGTTCTTTGACATTACCTAATCATTGTCTGAAGTATAAATTCATTAAGTGAAATTCCCAACTTTTCCTTCCATTTTGGGAACAATTCAATCTATGTTTGATGAATTTCTATTTGCACTGATAAAATAAAACTTCTACAACAGTAATAAACATAGATGGATTCATAAATTAATACTTAACCTTTCCTTTAACATCTTTCATATGCCCACTTTACAATGTATGTTATGTATTCTTGGGTTCACATCAGTCCTTTTCTTATGTATAAAATAGTCTTTAGAAATAAAGAAACTGAGGCAAGAGAAGTGAAAAGAGACTTGCTACTTTGTAGCAAGTAGGCACCCATCTGGACCCTGCTTAAAGTAGTCTTGCTATACTAGACAACATTTTCCTGAACAGTGCGTCCAATGGGCAGCACAGAAATCCTCAACACAGATGTCCAAAGCATCCCCATCAAGGAGCAAGAGACAAATCAAAGTACTTTTACCCACGAAGGGAAAAGAAACAGCATGTTTTTCATAAGAACTTTGGATTAGGAAAAAATAAATAAATAGAAAAAAGAACCAGAGAGAAAATCAGGGAGACAAATTTCTGAGAAGGAAGACCAAGATACTAGGTTTATTCTGCACATTAAGAGACTTCTAAAAACACTGCTTAAGAAGACTCGGAAAAGTCCTAGAGTCTTTTGATTTTAATCCTAAATCTCAAAAATATCTGAAATTATTTCTCCAATCTGTTAGGGTCCCATAAGCTTCTATAAAAATACAAGGCCTACATGAAGTCCCTGATTTTTAGAGCTTATTTCAAGCGTCCACTAGTGGCCACTTGCTCGTCTCCAAATCCAAAAATAATGTTGGCCCAGACCCGGGCAGGACCTTCACGCACATTTCCTCTGAAATCTTTAGCCTCACATCCCTTCCTACGTCCCATCTCCAACAGCTGTACTTAATCAATACAGCAAATGCGAATGAGTAACTACAGGCACCTACATTTACTACGTTCCTCACTGAAAACCTAAAATCCTGCGAGCAGGAACTGGCAAGGGACAGCCCTCCTGGCCCGGGCTTTCACCACCATACAAAGACACAGTCGGAGCAACAGCAGCCCGTGTCTGTGCACCCCACACCTCACTCTGCGAGAGAGGAAGACTTTGAATGAAACCAGACCCAACCCTCAACATCCACTCCCACGTGGTCGTCTTCGCCCAGGCCCTCAGTCGGACTCCAGAGGGATCTGATAGGAATCAGACCACGCTGGGGCGGGAGGAGGAGAAGGTGAGCTCCAGGCTGAGGTCCCAGTCCCTTCCTAGGCTGCACGCCTCCCAGTTCCGGGGCCTAATCCCCCATCCCGAGACTCCAGACCCCCCACACACACATGGCTGTCGGAAGGGGACCTAAAGGCCCCAAAGCTGCCGAGCTGCCCGGCACCAGGTCTGGATGGAGCCCGCGCCGCGTGCCGGCGGAGGCTGAGAAGCGGCCCCGGCCGGCCACCGCCCCTCCCCAGCCCCAGCTTCTCCAGCTCAATATCCCAGGCTCTGAAGCGGGCCTCACCTCACCTCAAGCTGGCAGCGTCCGCGGCCCGGCAATCCCGGATCCCCGCGCGGAGGCAGTGCTGGGCGGGAGGAGATGCCCGCAGCTCGGGCGATGGCTGACAGGCTCGCTGCACAGGCCGGCCGGGCACCGGGAGGGGAGGAGGGGAGGGCGGGGCTCCACAGGAGCCGCCCCGCCCCCGGCCCGCCCCCTCCGCCCACCTCAGCCCATGAGCCCCATGAGGTGACTACGTCCGGGGTTACTCGAGGCCGTTCACCTCCGACCCCGCTCCGGGCTGTCGCGCGGTCCGGACGGCTGGGGGTGGGGGGGTGCGGGAGGGGGCGATCCGCGGGCCCGAGGGCGGCGAGAGCCAATGGGAGGGCGGCGCGGGGCGGGGCGACGTGAGGCGATGCCGATGGTCCGAGTGCGGCTCTGCCATTCGGGGCCCAGAGGCGCGAGGGCGGGCCCCGCGTGGCCCCGGCGCCCCTTCGGCTCGGGCGGTTGCTGGGCCAGCCAGTCGGCTCCCTCTCCTGGCAGAGAGGGAAGTGGAGGAAATGCTCCCACTTGCACCTCCCATCAAGGATAGAGGCGTCCGGGGCCGCGGAAAGTGAAGGCCTGGGACTTGCCGGTTCTGATCTCCACTTATAACGCCGGGAGTGGAGATCAGAACCGGGGCGGGCTGAAAGGGATAGGCAGTGAGCCGGCCTCGTTTGGACCGTAGAGTATATAATCTTATCACCCTGAAAAGGTGGCTATTGTGTCCATCAATTGCACACAGGTTGGATTCCAAGTTAGTGCAGACTAACTAATCCCTATTCTGGAACTTCCTTTGCTTGCTCCTCAGCCCCAAAGCAGCCTACCCCAAAGGAGTTGTAGGTGCTGAATCTTGGAGAATTGAAGGGAGACTTAGTAAAGGATGTTAAGTGAGAAGGACAGTGTTGCAAAGAACAACAGTCCTGCCTGCCCAGCAGGGAAAGTAGGTGCCAGTGAGTTCCTGATTTCTCAGAGTGTCTTCCATCTTTCACTGGGGTTACACCAAGCCTTTGAGGTGAACTCAACCAACTTTTCTAGTTTTGTCAGTTAAGTTCATAGCAAGACTTTAGTTTAATAGTGGCTCTCTGTTGAAAATTAGTAGTAATTGGAAGGAGTCCCAACACAGTTCATCCTCTGAGCAAGGACACAATGAAAATTTGAGAAAATCATACTTGACAAGAATGGAGTGAATTCTAACCCCTGCCAGAAATTTAGTGAAACATCCAGACTATTTTCCCAATCCTAACACAAGAAGGCCAAGAGAGGTGCAGAGGGTGACAATTTGGTGTGAAGAAGTCCTATGCCAGAGGGTAAAAATCAAATATGGTGGAGGGGCTGGGACTGTAGCTCAGTGGTAGAGCATTTGCCTTGCATGTGTGAGGTACTGGATTCGATCTTCAGCACCACATAAAAATAAATAAATAAAGATATTGTACCAACTACAACTAAAAAAAATTTTTAAAAAATCAAATAGGGGGGCTGGGGATGTGGCTCAAGCGGTAGCGCGCTCGCCTGGCATGCGTACGGCCCGGGTTCGATCCTCAGCACCACATACAAACAAAGATGTTGTGTTTGCCGAGAAATAAAAAATAAATATAATTCTCTCTCTTAAAAAAAAAAAAAATCAAATAGGGTCGAAATATATACCTCAGGCTAAGTTCTTAGATGGAAGCTGAGGCAGGAAGATAGGAAGATTGGTCAATAAAGAACAAAATCTACAGGGCTGGGGATGTGGCTCAAGTGGTAGCGCGCTCACCTGGCATGGGTGTGGCCTGGGTTCAATCCTCAGCACCACATACAAAGGTGTTATGTCCACCAAAAACTAAAAAAAATAAATAAATATTAAAAAAAAGAACAAAATGTAGGATCCCTCATGCTTCTCTACGAGTTTACCCTCCCGCTTTTGAAATACTAGGAATTGGACACATAATTTGGGAAAAAGATATGGATTTTACAAAACGATAACCCATATTTTACAGCAACTGTGTCATTATGATAAATGGCAGTTGGACAAATGTGGAACACTCAAAACTTGAAAAAAAGGAAAAGGATAATTGCCCAAGACATCCTGGTTTAACAAGATATTTGATTTAACTGACTAAAATCAACATTAGCTGGGAACAGGCAGACTTTGCCTATGGATAACAGTACTCTTCAAAGCTGGCAGGAAGGAGTGACTTCGGAAAGACAAATCTTTTTTTTTTTTTTTTTTTTTTTTTAGAAATTTTATTTTATTTTATTTTTTTAAAGAGAGAGTGAGAGAGGAGAGGGAGGGGAGAGAGAGAGAGAGAGAGAGAGAGAATTTTTTTTAATATTTATTTTTTATCTCGGCGGACACAACATCTTTGTTGGTATGTGGTGCAGAGGATGGAACCCGGGCCGCACGCATGCCAGGCGAGCGCGCTACCGCTTGAGCCACATCCCCAGCCGGAAAGACAAATCTTGAGGTTGTCTCTGATTTTTCTTTTGCCTTTCCTAAACCCTGTGAAGGCTGCCTTTCCATGGGATTCTAAGATTTACCTGCAAAAAACTGTCCTTATAAGAATCTTCATCATGTCCTGCTTTTGACCTCACTGGGTATTTAAAGTTATTGAGCTCTCTAAAAAACTAGCCAAGGACACTTAAAAAAAAAAAATAGAATCTTTGTGAGGAAACTGCCTCTAAAACCCTCTCATATAGAGACAGCTTTGACTTCAGGGTACATTCTTCTTCCTGAATGTTGTTAACTGTGGTTAAAATGCAATAGGAAAACTATTTTCTTAATGTGATGTAATAGGCACAGCCACTGCCTGCTGTATTCTGGCTGGACTCTATGTACACTCTAACTTAAGAAATATACCTATGCAGGGAGAAAAATAAATTAGCCAAGGATGGGCCTAATAAAAGAGCTACAGAGAAAGAAAATAAAGGTTGAATTGGGATACTCCAGACCACTTACAGAAGATCTAGCTGCTATCACCAAATGTTAAAGCAACTGAGCTGAAAATAAGCAAAGAGCTATGCTTGCAGACAGAGTACTAGAATTTCAACCCTTAAGTTTTGTGTTATTTGTTACATGCCAAAACCTGCCCATCCCTACCATAGGTTTTTCAGAAGTGCTTCATAAATTCTTGCCACATAAGACATTATGTCTGTAAAGAGGTGGAGGAGAGCCAAAGGAGATAACTTCCTACAGAAGACTAGCAGGTGGAAAAGAAGGGGGGGGCGAGTGATTTCTAAAAGCTGAAACTATAAAGGTCTATTATGGGCTGAATTGTATCCAAAAATTCCTACGTTGAACTCCTAATGCCCAGTACTTCAAAATATGAGTATATTTGGAAATAGGGTCTTTAAAGATGAAATTAAATGAAAACAAGGTCATTAGGGTAGACCCTAATAAAATGTGACTGGTGTCCTTATAAGGAGATTAAGACACAGGCACACACAGAAGATCCTGTAAAGACAAAGAAGATGGCCATCTACAAACCAAGGAGAAAAGTCTCAAAAGACACTTTGCCAATACCTTGATCTTGGACTTCTAGCTTCCAGAAATTAATTTCTCCTATTTAAGCCATTTCTGTTGTTTCTTGTGATGTATTTTGTGATAGCAGCCCTACAAAAACTAATAAAAGGTCCCAAATATCAAATGGCCCCCAAGGTTTTCAAGAAAGTTGTATAAAAGTATCAGAGATTTATCTTGAGCATCCTAGCTACTTTTCAACTTTAAAGTTGGTCTATTTCCCTACTGTGGGTAAAATCAGAATAAGCTTGAGAGATCCTTCCTTGTTTTTTAGATGGTTACAATCCACTCAGTTAGACAAAACTAACGCACTAAAACAGACTGTCTATGTCTCACTCCTTACATGATAGCCATGTGAATTTGTAAAAGCCAGAGATGAGAGAGGATAAATTTGTCACTGTCCAGGCATCTCCATTTGACATTTTATTGTCAATTCTACTTTAAGACAGTGTTTCTCTGGGCTGGGGATGTGGCTCAAGTGGTAGCGCGCTCGCCTGGCATGCGTATGGCCCAGGTTCGATCCTCAGCACCACATACAAACAAAGATGTTGTGTCTGCCGAGAACTAAAAAATAAATATTAAACAATTCTCTCTCTCTCTTAAAAAAAAAAAAAAAGACAGTGTTTCTCAAAGTGTTCCACCTAAAACAGAAACACTAGGGAGCTTGTTAAAATAGGTGCTGGGTTTGATCCACAGCACTGGGGCAGGCTGGGGGGGGGGGGTGCAAATTCTCAGTCCATTTGCAGACTTTTTTTTTTAAGCACCCCTGGTAATTGTTCACCCTGACATTTGAGAATACTAGTTTAAGCTTTAGCATTATTATTTCACCATTTATTGCAAGAATATCTTGTTGAACAACAATGCCTCCTACACTGCTATTTCCAAAATGGGAAAGTCTATCAGGTCAGGTTTGAGTTGAATCAAGAGAAGAGAGAAAATTTCCCTTAATAGAAAAAGAGTTCCCTTGGCCTGGTGGCTGTCTGACCATGGTTCCAAATTTCACAGGGTAGCAAGGTCAGAGATTGGCTTTTTTGTTAAGATAAAGAAATTATTGGGATATTATTTCCCACTGACCCCTAATATTCATATATTAATCTGGCTTTTACCACTTGCTATGCTTATACTTCTCCTCCTGCCTCAGCCTCTGGAGCACTGGAATTACTGATGCACATCATCATGCCTAGCCCTAGCCCCTTTTAAATTTTATTTTTTCCCACATTTTTTACTGGTGCATTACATTTGTACATATTGATGGAATTTATTATTACATATTCATACATGCACACAATATGACAATATAATCTTACCAGTATCACTCCCCAGCACTTCCTAAATTTTAATTTGATATAGGTAATAGCTAAATTGTTGAGACTGGTCTCAAACTTGTGATCCTCCTGCTTTAACCTCCTAAATTGCTGAGTTATAGGTGTATACTACCACATCTTGCTCTTCTCTAAATTCTTATAGCAGTATGGTTACTACCACATAACTCAGCATTTTAGGCTATAATTTTGTGTATGTATGTTTTTTTAGCGCTCCTTTTTTTTTTTTTTTTGGTACCAGGGATTGAATTCAAGGGCACTCAATCACTGAGCCACATACCACATAAATAAAATATTTTGTATTTTATTTAGAGACAGGGTCTTA